TTTAGTGGTAGTATGCATTGTCTCAATTGTGATTGTCAGGTTTTCACTCCCTATATTATTATTGGATATACATGTATAATTACCGATATCTCTTGTGGTTATGTTAATTATATACAAGGTGGCTTGTCCATCGACTCTAATATCGGGATATATTTCATTTGTGTGGATTGGAAACTTATCCGGCAGGACCCATTTCAAGGTAGCAATACTATCATCATTCAAATAACAAGGCAGTGTGAGATTCTCACCTAGACTGACAACGATGTTATTCTCTGTTGTTGAAATACCTGGAAATGTACATTGTAATTCATATATTGTCACATTTGTGAAGCGCCGTCCACGATATTTTTCAGGTTTTTCACATTGAGTATTAGCAATTGAAGTTTGTGAGAATTTATAATCGTTTTGATCAATCCATTCTCGGAACCACTGCATTTCGCAATCACAATAAAAAGGGTTGAAAGATGCATCTATTTTTTTCAGCGATTGGAGACGCTCAAAGGCATTCTTTTCTATCATATTGATGTTGTTGTTTGATATAATCAAGGTTTCCAATAATCCATTATTAAGTATTAATTGTTCTCCTATATGTGTTATTTTATTAAATTCCAGTGAGAGGTATTTCAATTGAGTCAACCCATGAAATGTATTATCATCAATGTGAGCAATTTTATTGTGATCCAAATACAGTTGCGCAAGATTTGTGAGATTTGCAAACACGTGTTCTTGTAAATAATAAATATTATTAAAGGATAAATACAATTTATCCAGCGATTTCATTTCACAGAATGCATTATTTGCGACAATCTCAATCTGATTATATTTTAATGATAGGTATTTTGTGTTCGTTAAGCCTCTAAATAATTCTGTATTTATGTGCTTAATTATACTGTTCTTAATGACTAATGTTTGTAGTTTATCCAGCGTTTGAAATACTTGATTATCGATGGACGATACGTGACTGATACGTAGCTGTTGTAAATTCTCGCATGATTGAAATAAACGCCGTTTCAGCAACCCAAGGGGGTTATCCGTTAATCCCAAAATCTGTAAATCATGCAAGTACTTAAAGATATCTTCATTTAAGTCGGTTATATCATTCTCCTCTAAGTGGAGTTCGTGCAAAGCCGTATTTGTTTTAAACAAATCAGGCGCTAGCGATTGAATGATATTTTGCCGAAGGTCTAGATGCTGTAGACTCGTCAGCCCTCTAAAGGATTTCTCAGATATATTCATCAGCTTGTTGTCGCCCAGTGCAAGGTATTGAAGCTTTCTATTGTGTAGAAAGATTGTCTCAGGTAGTCTAACTAAATAGTTGGCGGTCAGATAAATATTATTGATGTCAACTAAATTTGCAAATGCATTTTCATCAATATAACTAATTTGGTTGTCATGGAGATTGATGAATTTGAGTTTGTCAAGACCATAGAAGGCGTTTGCATCGATAGACGTTATGACATTTCGGTACAAATGTAGCGATACTAGCGACGTAAGATTCTGAATGGCTAACGGGATTGTTTGTAGTTTGTTCTGCGTTAATATCAAATCTTTGAGTTGTACGAGGCCCTGGAATGCGGTACTGTCCACGTGTTCGAGTTTGTTACCTCCAACATTTAACCCTTGTAACTTAGTACATTTACTAAGCGCATGCCCTTCTATAGATTTAATCTCATTGTAGGACAAATCTAAAAACAATAATTCATCTAGGTTGTCAAATCCCTCCTTGGTAACTCTAGAAATGTTGCTGTATGTTAACTCTAGAATTTGTGTTGATACTTGAAGGCCTGTTGGAACCGTTGAGAGTAAAGGAATTACATTGACACAACTGACAGAGTCGTAAGTTAATTGTGGTAATGGATAAAAATACTTGGTTGTATTTCCACACTTGCATAACTGTGGACAGGATTGAGCTAGACTAGGTGAGAATAAAGTTGACAATAATATGACAGTTTGGTACATAATTGTTATCCTTTTGTTGGTATCTGGCACCATCACACTGACTGATATGTTGGTTGCTATGTTTGCTGTATACCTGTGGTTGCTCACTACGTTGCTGTATTCTGGATTGGTTGCCACGTTGATGTATTCTGGATTGGTTGCCACGTTGATGTATTCTGGATTGGTTGCTATGTTGCTGTATTCTGGATTGGTTAAAACTATATTGGTTGATCTAGGGGTAGATGTATCTGTGCATAAGTTGTTATTATAGTGTTGGCTGATCCCTGTGGTTGGTGTAGGATCAATGTATCATTTTTTATACATACATGTACACTACCCTGGTAGCTTTATATTCATCGAGGCATGAAGTGAAGTGTACTGTGTTGGATCGTTTGGATTAATAATTATATAGTCTGTCTGTATAATACCTGATGCATGGAGTTGACTTTGGCTTTTACTTGATTCTTGTAGTTGGTTGAAATAGATGGCCTTGATCCCTAGAGTGGGCAAGATAGACTGTCTTTATCCCTGGAGTTGGCTGAACTAGCTGTCTTTATCCCTGGAGTTGGCTGAACTAGCTGCCTTTATTCCTGGAGTTGGTTGAACTAGCTGCCTCTATCCCTGGAATTGGCTGAACTAGCTGTCTTTATTCCTGGAGTTGGCTGAACTAGCTGTCTTTATTCCTGGAGTTGGCTGAACTAGCTGCCTTTATTCCTGGAGTTGGCTGAACTAGCTGCCTTTATTCCTGGAGTTGGCTGAACTAGCTGCCTTTATTCCTGGAGTTGGTTGAACTAGCTGCCTCTATCCCTGGAATTGGCTGAACTAGCTGCCTTTATCCCTGGAGTTGGTAGAAATAAGACTGCCTTTATCCCTGGAATTAGCTGAACTAGCTGCCCTTATCTCAGGAGCTGGTTGAAATAGAACTGCCTTTATCCCTGGAGTTGGTTGAAATCAAAGTTCCTAGAGAGGACATTATATTGTCATCGCAATAAACAGGAAGAGGAAGCATGTGTTCAGTTTAGATTGTACAAGATACAAGTAGTTATTAGTCCTTCACTTCCATTACTGGTATCATACTGCAAAACATCATAAACTTTAAGAACACAAATAAAAATAAACAATTTAAATGTTTAATGTGTACAGGCACAATGTCAAGATCATTAGCAATGTATAAACATGACTGCATGCTGAGCTAAGATTGCAACACCCTCCTAGCTAAGTAATTCCTATTTCATTGTCATAGCGTACATTTTAGTATTTTAGTGATTTTGTCTGTGATTTGTAATTGCAACAACGTATTTTAACTTATAGTATTTTTTGACTCAATGGATGTGTCTGCTGAGCCGTAAGCATGATGTTTTGTTCAGAGTCTGTCTGTCTGTCTGGATGGATGGATGAACCGTTTGGCTTGATTTTTATTGTGTCGCTGTCTTGGTGAATGTAGATGAATATTTGTTCATGGGAATTTGATACACCAAAAATGATACAAATTAGCTACCAAAAACTATAAAAAATGCTTAAATGACTTACTGTAATGACTTCATTTTCACTTGGAATATGTTTGGGTATTTTTCACTGAAGCTTGAATTAGTGAAAACAAAATTAAGTAAAAATATCACTCATTAGTGAAAATAAACTTTATAAAAACAGTCAAAATGTTTTTCCTGAGAAGCAAAAATATTGTACAGTATACCATGTTTCCCATAATGCATTGAACAATTTTTTTTTTTTTTTTTTTGAGTTTCTGCCCACTGATCCAGCAATTCCTGGTTGCTGATTCAGTGCTCCTTGCAGCCTTTTGAAACAACTGCCTTTTTTTCTTTGGTGAACTCTTAAATGAGTCAAAATTACAAAAATTATTTGTTATATATATATGGATAGTCTTGCATTTTATCCATTTTTGGTGTTGGTTGTGTAAGACATTTCTCATTTCATAAGATATGATTTTCTTATTTTGAAAATGATGTTTTCAGCTGTTGTTGTTTCATAGATGCCTATGTATCAACATTAACTGAGAGCTGGTGACATGTCAATTATGCGTGAAAATACATCAAAATTACATTTAATTAAATGCTACATTTATTTTTTGACTTTTTCTTGAAAACTGCAAGCTCAATTGGTTGATACTTGGTATGTAGGTACTTGGGTGTAATGGTACCTCTGTCAGATTTGTTCATTTTGTGACAACAGAAATTTTTTCAATTCTCTATTTTTGTTGAAATTTTTTTTGGCAAAAAATATCCCGTTTTTGACTTTTTCTTGAAAACTACCAATGCTGAAAGCTAGTCACAAAAAATGGATAGGGATTTATCATTAAAAATGACATGTTTTAACATAATTTGAACAATTATTCAGGTTTTTTTGATTAAGTGCTGGACTAAAAATGATATGAAATTTTCTAAAATGTGTATAGATGTGGCTAGCTCATATACATTTTGCATTATAAATGAATATGAATGTGATCTGATGTTGTAATAAGAGTTATCTTAGAATAACATTCTGTGCACTACATCCTGTAGCAAAGATTGTCATAGCAGAAACCTGCAAATTTGAATTATGTGCAATGCATCATGGGAGCAGAAGATTCATAAGCATATAGAAATGTTAGATGTGAATTTAGCGCAATTAATGTATCAGAGAAGTGGATTTAGATGCAAATAGATATACATATATGAATTTGAATTTAAAATGAAGTCAGTTTGGGCAAAAAGATCATGTCAAATATGCAAAGGCTAAATCATTGAATTCTAAGAGCATTCTATTTTTGAAGAGTGAATTATTTAATTACAGTTCAATTTCATTTTAAATTTAAGCACTCCAGCCAAATGTGGTGGGTCTTTTGATAAACAAACAAGTGTTGTTACTTCCAATGGTTAAAGGTAACAAACTCAGAACATATTAAACATCACTGGCAATGATCTTAGGAGTAAAACAATATTGCAAGGAAAATTGAGTGGGAGAGAGTGGGTTTAACCCCTTCCACCATGTCACTATGACTGCAAATAAAAATCTACATCAACTTCTTTGATGTTTCCTAACACTGTGACATATTTCTTTTACAGAATGCATCCTTCTCAAATTTTTCCAGTCAATAAATTACTAAGAAATATGAAGGTTGGTAATTTCCGGTGAGTTGTATTAGTCATTTGTAGTTACAGGTTCTATATCTCATACTATGCTCATATCACACTCTGGAAGCACTTGAGTTTACCCTGTTTGTGTGTATGTCTGTGTGTAACTGCGAGAAGAGTCATATGAGTGTAGCAAACATAGTAACCTTGGTACATAAACACCTTTTATATTGACCCATTTATTATCACAGTCAAGTATACATGTCAAAGTCACTTATTATTTCTTTTTCCCAGATATTGTAAAGATAGTTTGGGCTTGGGTGATTTGACAGGAAATCATTTTGTAATCACATTGAGGTAAGCTGACACATAATAAGTTATGGTCCACATAGCTACTCAGCTGTGGGTGAAATTAAACTATGTAGTCTTCCAATCAATATCTATCTCAAGTTGAAGATAACCTGCAACTATATGGATCATATCAAAAATGACATAGTCCCTTCATATTTCCCAGTCATGTATGAATATGACTGAAGAAAATAAATTTGTTTATTTATTTATGTTGGTTTGGGTGCCATGTTCGTGCATGGGATACTTATTTCATAAGTTTGTTCATTTCATAGTGAAACCTCTAATTTCATATATTTAGTTAAAGGGCGATAGTCGTCATGCCATGCATGCGCGAAATATATGGGTCTGATATAAACAAAGATGGTGACTTTGACTGTTGCGCAGATCAACGAGTACAAACTGAGACGTTACCAAACTTTAATTTAGTATTTTCTAGGTAATATGGAGGTATCAAAGGATTCATTGGCAGTCATTAGTGCATGTCGCGCCCAGGTCAAATCTCATACTTGTGATTTCCATTAGAAGAGTGCATTGGATTGTGGGTAAATGAATGTTTATCAACACAAATGTCGCACATGTGCAGCGCAACGACTACCACCCTTTAATATTATTATTTTGAACGCTTGGTTTCTTGAAAAGTTCTCTACCATGAACCTACCTCATTGGTCTTAGAAAGCAATGAGCTGTTTTATCACACCTGTGAAGTAAGAGTGTACATGTATGCACATACTTTTAATATGCAGGAATGTGCAAGGAGAAGATGATGTCATTGAAAATTGCTTGTCATTGTTCAGAGATAATGGATTTGTCAATTATTTTGGAATGCAAAGATTTGGTTCTACTAATATACCAACTCATTATGTAGGAAAGTAAGTACACATATGATTATTGAATGTCCATCTGTATTGAACACTATACATAGTGACACATCCACCTGTATTGAACACTGTACATAGTGACACACCCACCTGTATTAAACACTATACATAGTGACACATCCACCTGTATTAAACACTGTACATAGTGACACACCCACCTGTATTGAACACTACACATAGTGACACACCCACCTGTATTAAACACTATACATAGTGACACACCCACCTGTATTAAACACTATACATAGTGACACACCCACCTGTATTAAACACTACACATAGTGACACATCCACCTGTATTAAACACTATACATAGTGACACATCCACCTGTATTAAACACTATACATAGTGACACATCCACCTGTATTAAACACTATACATAGTGACACATCCACCTGTATTAAATACTACACATAGTGACACACTCACCTGTATTAAACACTACACATAGTGACACACCCACCTGTATTGAACACTATACATAGTGACACATCCACCTGTTTTGGACACTGTACATAGTGACACAGT